ACCCTGAATAATTTAACATAAAAAATCATATCGTAATTTTAAAATGACGCAATTTTATCCCATTACTCTAAGTGAGATAAGCCCAGCGTTGGGAACAATAAAATTATGTTATTTAAATTGAAATAAAACGTACTTAACTTCAAGAAAATTAAACTCTTAGTACGATTTCTGAGTATTAAATATTCAAACAACATCTACATACTTATAATTCGTAAAACAATATTAAATTGGTTTTTTTTTTCGCGTTGATGGTAAACCAGCGCACGGACCGTTTGGTTTTAAGTAGTTACAGGAGCTCGTAGATGTCACAAATAGAATGCTACTATCCATCCCAGCCTTTAAGGTCGAAATTTCAGTGGTGATTTGTAACGGCTGTTATACCCTTCAAACCGAAATGGCTTCGTGAATAAAGTACGTTATTTTTTAAAAATTAATATCCACCTGCAAGATTTGAACCGACATAGTCCGTCATCGACACGAGTACAACACGTGTCCTTTAGAAATCTATATAATATATTTAACTTATTTATATTTAAGTATTTATATTCAATACATATTTCTTGGAAGACAGTATTTTTCTTTTATTTACAATAGAATCGAACTTTATTGGACGATATTGGACATAGGTAGGTAGGAAGGTAGGAATGAAAATAAAAAACGAACCAAAAAAAAATCCTGTGTACTTCTAGTCAAATTTCTTAGAATACTACATGTCTAGCTACTACATCTACATATCTATCTTTATTCAGTTTTTTTTTCTTTCCGCTATTCATAATCAATGCTATCACGGATGTTTTGGATCCTCTGAGTCTACGAAGAAACTTTAGAGCCTTCTCTGTCTAGTACTTGTATTCAGGTACAAGAAATGCAGCGTATAGTAATAGTAAAAAAATAATATTAATACTATGGTAAAAATATAAGATATAAATAGGTTTCTACTTATTTTTTACTTTTCCGAACTAAACAGTTTTAGATTATTAATTTGCGGACTTAAAATTTTAACAAACTGTAATTCTTCATAATTGTAATCATTTGTGAATACAGTTGGACTCATAATTGTTTGAACGTATATATTAGTATCTGCCATTGGTTCGATGTTATAGCGTAATCACGTGACCACACCGAGCGTCTTACATATTAGGGAACGGAATTAAAGGTTAAATAAAAATATGTATAAGCCAAAAGTACTAAGCTCACCTACCAAAATAAGGTTTTTTCCGAAGGGCTTTTCTATCTGCAAAAAAAGAATCGATTACGATTTCCGTTTGTGCATTAAACAAAACTTAGACAAATATATTATTTAGTTAGAAAATATTGATTCAGTTCAAAAACAAACGGGTACGGCTTATTCCGTACAAATACAATGTAAAAAAAAACAAAGTACAAGATAACACTAAAACACGCAAGGTTTATTTATTGGTTGATCTTTTCTTGAATTTGTAGACAGATGACCATATGGCCAATCTGATGGTTACTTTCGCTCATGAATTTCAACAATGTTAAAGACACAGTCAAGTCATTAGCTGCCTACCGCAGATTTTTGTTTTCTTCTTTTATTAGTTTAGATTATAACTCAAACTGGACCAGTACTCTGAGTTTATTCTTGTTAAATTATTATATTTCAAGTTCGTGCGTAAGTCGTCAATACTTTGAAGTGGGAGTTGGCATTCACGATATTGTGGATAAAAACACCGGTAGCCGCCGCCGTGACTTGATACGGCTATCTACACAAATAAAAACTACATTACTAGAACTGACGTCCATCATATTTATGTTTAAATACATATAAAAAAAGGATAATGTTCAAGTTATTGATAATGTTCTGATATTGTATAAGCTTAACTAATTTTACAGACTATTAAGAGACTTTTATAAAGATTACTAGCGATCCGCCCTCGCTTCGCTTCGGAAACATTAAAACACATATGAAACCAAAAAAAAAAATTAAAAAAAAATTAAAAAAAGTAGCCTATGTTCATCAGGGACAATGTCGGCTTCTAATGGAAAAAGAATTTTTCAAATCGGTCCAGTAGTTTCGGAGCCTATTCGAAACAAACAAACAAACAAATCTTTCCTCTTTATAATATTAGTATAGATTTAAATTTAGTAACAATAAAAATATACTGTTATCAAAAAACTTTAACAAATTAATTACGCTTTCTCGTCTATTTATTCCTGTGAAACAGATGCAATTGAAACTTGGACCTCCCTTTAAGATATCAGTAATACAAAAATTATTTTGAATTGCTTCTTTTCGGCATTACGTATGAATAAGTTAATTTAAGTAAGGGAATATAAACTTGATATAACGCAAAGTTACAATGTTGCAAAAAGAGGGTAGCACGCTATTGCCAGCTGTTCTCAAATTTTAGTTTAACAAAAAAAATTATTTTTATTAATAAAATTCTACTAAGTAATACCTGCTACATATGATCGCAATGTTTTCTTGTGATTTCTTTCCAGCTTACGACTATGATATGTTGTGCATAGCTATTATATTTTTTTTTCATAAACTTTGGGGTACTTGGCCCAGGTATTATGATTGTTTTCGCAATTTATTTTTTCTTTAATTTTGTAGATATAACTATGGTCGTTACCGCTATTTTGTTGTTCTTTCGCAATAAGCTATGATTCAGTTGTTAACTAATGTGGATTTCTAATATTTTAGGCATAGAACGTAATTCGTTCAAATGAAATATCTTATCTTGGTTGTTGAATGCTATTTCGAAGGCTATCACATAGATGCTACACAAAAAATCAGCTTCAACATTATGAATGGGCTGCAGGTGGCCCTTTTTACGTCTCAAATAATAATAAAAGCCTTTATATTTCTTGCAAATAATTATAGCAGTATATGAAATATAATCTTATAAAATTCTTGTTATACACTTTGACTGTACATAAATTTTAATTGTTGCTAGCAAAAATGATTGTGTAATAATTCAACTTAATATTATATTTTTATATTGATTTATTTGCCAAAGCCTCTACTCAGGTGAAGATCTTCCACAGGTTAATACTTTCAATATAAAATTTGTAGTAACTGACCGAATACAGTGTATAGTTCCAGTTTTAGATCAAACAGCAAATAAGTCAACTAATAACTTAAGCTTTCCTCAAAAATTTAAAATGGTACACTTGCTTATTCATGTGAAATCAGTCTAGATTATTTGGTTTTTTTCTTGACTTGTTCGTTTACGAAATCATACGAAAGCGATGCAAATACAAACATTACAACAAAACGGCGTCATAAAATATAAATGCGTTAGGTCCTTTAAGAAACTACTGGTGGTAGGACCTCTTGTGAGTCCGCGCGGTTGGGTCCGACCACCCTGCCCATTTCTGTCGTGAAGCAGTATGCGTTTCGGTTTCAAGGGTGGGGCAGCCGTCGTAACTATACGTGAGACCTTAGAACTTGTATCTCAAGGTGGGTGGCGCATTTCCGTTGTGGATGTCTATGGGCTCCAGTAACCACTTAACACCAGGTGGGCTGTGAGCTCGTCCACTCATCTAAGCAATAAAAAAAAAAAGACAAGTATAATAGTAAAGTATAGCGACACGTATAAGTTTGTTAGATGGTTTAAGAAGCGCTGGAACTTATTAGTGCTACGGTTATATAGGGGAGTGCACTTCGAAGACGCTAGACGTTGCTTTCGAACTAGTTATAATAAGTAGCGTGTTTTTTAAACACTGCTGTTTGCAGAACTACGCATTTGCAATATTTGAAACTATTTTGGATTAGGTAACTATTATTATTGTATTTCTATTTTAGTTTTTATTATATCAAAAATAAGGTAGAACTGTTATGACACAAATGGACCACTCTTTAACGTGTTCTCGAGTGTTCGTTATGAGATGGCTATCCCGAATCTGGGCCGGTGCTTGTGCTTCCTTGTCCTTTAGATGATTAATCCTTCACGAATTACGTTGTTATAAAACAGTTCGCAAAAGAAATAGTGTACTACCCTAAAAAAAAAATTTTTATAGCTTGATTACGTGGAAGAACGCCCGCCTGGTGTTAGAGGGTTACCGGAACCTATAGGCATCTACGTAAATTACGTCACCCACCTTGAGACAAGAGTTCTGTCTCAGTTTAACAGCACAACGACTACACCGGCAGGTCTGGATCGTGGATGGTCTGGTCTCGTAGCGAGAATGTTTTTGTTCCTGTCACTCCATGATGATATTGGGCATCAGCCCGCTGAGTTTCTCGCCGGATCTTCTCAGCGGGTCGCGATTCCGATCCGGTAGTAGATTCATTCGCGAAGCAGCTGCTCTTGAGTTGTTAGGTCTCCTTCGGAAGCGCTCGGGCAGTTGTTAGCAAATCCCTCCTGACTGAGTCTTTGCTCGCCCACCTGTCCTGGTGAAACTGAAAAGGCCTCAGGGTCACCAGTCATCCTTAAATCATAAAAAAAGATATTGTGCGTATATGTTAAGTTTAGTTTAGTTTAAGCAGAACATAAACTAACAAAACTCGTGTTGGAAATAATGAGACTTTCCACGCTTGAGTCACATGTTATGTCTGGCAGTGCTTGCTTACCATTTTCAGTTCTGCGGATGAAGAGACGTGTGCCCGAGAATGTTTTTTTTTTCTTCTACTTGTAGTCGGTAGACTAATTTCGGTAATTTTTGCGATTGGATGCGTCAACACAACAAATGTCAGATGTACAATGCATAACTTTTTACTGGTGGTAGGACCTCTTGTGAGTCCACGCGGGTAGGTAACACCACCCTGCCTATTTCTGGCGTGAAGCAGTAATGCGTTTCGGTTTGAAGGGCGGGGCAGCCGTTGTCACTATACTGAGACCTTAGAACTTATATCTTAAGGTCGATGGCGCATGACGTTGTAGATGTCTATGTACACTACAGTAACTTAACACCAGGTGGGCTGTGAGCACGTCCACTCATTTTAGAAAAAAAAAAACAGTTTTTACAGAATGAACACTGAGCGCTTTATACATACATAAAAATTATGATTAGTTTCTTTTTGTCGTTTTTAGGGAAAATGCCTCCCCAAAGGAAACAGGAGGCTTCGTGGGTATTGTACGAAACCGACGCCAATGACCTGCCAGAAGATGCACCGCCCCATGTACCTCCCTCAGCAGAGAAGAGACCATGGAAGATTGTGTGGAGAAACGTGATTCTGTTCTTTATTCTGCATGTCGGTGGTGTTTATGGAGGATACCTGTTCCTTTTCAAAGCCATGTGGAGGACTTCTATATTCGGTAAGTTTGATATTTATTTTACTCGAGCTGACAAAAAGTTCTGTAGTACTTTTGCAAGCAATGTAATATATTATTTCTGAGAATTTGAGACATACAATAGAAGTAGATTCATCGAACTGCTTTAGAGGACTTTACTCTCTTCTGCATATTTGATTTATGTTAGTATTTTTTCGACTGCTAATGATTTTTAATAGTCTTCAGAAAGGGACTAGTTGGAGAAGCATGTAGAAAAATAAGAAAAAATAGTGTAACCACACATTTTGGTGATTTTATATGAACATTAGGGCAACAATTGGTTTCAGTAATAATGTAAGATCTGATGTTAAGTGGTTACTGGAGCCCATAGAAATTGTAGATGTAAATGCCACCACCCACCTTGGGACATATGTATAAGGGTCTATACTTTTAACAGTACAACGGCTAAGCCCGCCCGCATTTTTATTTCCCGATGTTATTCTTTCACCGTGGAAGTCAATCCTGAAATTTTTTAAGTACTGATTTCAACGGAAAAGTTGGTACCTGCTAGCGGAACACCGATGCATCGCTACATACGAATGCACCGGACGTCTTATCCTTTAGGCCACGACGACTTCATCTGGTGTTAACTGGTCACCGGAGCCCATAGACATTAAGCAGGTTAATGCGGACCACCACCACATTGAGACATGAGCTCTAGGTCACGGTTTTACAGTACAACGTCAGCCTCGCCATTCAAACCGAAACCCACTACTGCTTCACGGCAGAAATTGACAGGTTACTCACCCGTGTGGGCACATAAGACGTCCTACCACTAGTAACAAATGAAGTTGATGCAGGGTAATTCCAGTTACTCATAGACACCAGTGATGCCGGGGGTTAACTTAACCATGAGTATTCAAGTGAGAAGTTTGATCAAATCTCATTTAAAGAATACGTCAAAGCGCTCTGAGTCGTCTGAAGCAAGAATTCGTTCAGAAGAAGCACGTTGCAAATGAACATCACGGTTCTAGGTTATAGAGATGAACGCTACTCTAGTGGTGGGTGGACAGAAATAAACAATTTTTTATTTTTTATATTTCAGCCATATTTTTGTACTTGTGTTCGGGGTTGGGTATCACAGCTGGCGCGCACAGACTTTGGGCACACAAGTCCTATAAAGCTCGGTTGCCACTAAGAATACTACTCACCATATTCAATACCATCGCCTTTCAGGTAAGTTTGAAACTTCAGTTATTAAATTAATAAACATAGCGTTTGCATTATCTTTAATTGATCATACGAACTCAACGGCCACGTATTGATAAGCGCCCATCGAAGACTTGTGTCTTGAAGTAAAAGACTCAATTTTGTCAGAATAAATGCTATCCAGCTCCTCAGACTGTGCGCGTCATTGACGATTTGATTGCTGCGTGATGTCAAAAGATAGAACGGTGAAATCAATAATTAGGTAGAAAGTTAAAGGAAGAATATTAGGTACTACTGAGGAGATTACGACAAAGGAAAATCTTCCACCGATATTGCTCGGTAGACTGACGGTCCAAATGTAATTGTTCGGAACATGTATATATGCAAGTTTATCTTGAAAATGTCGTCAAATATCTTGTGTTCTATGATGGCTACCCGCCACGCTACTACTAAGGAAAGAAGGACTCAAGTATTCCGGTGACTCCTACAATATTCTTTCAATTAACAGCCGAATAATATTTAAAATCATTTCGCCTATTCAGACTGATTCAACGGACGGAAGTGAATAAAAAGTAAAAACAAAGAAATATGCTCAGATATTCAGATTATGTACATGCATATTACGTGTCTATATTTAACATCTTCGGGTCAAGCTAAATAAGTGGACACGTGCATGACACGCAAAATACACCGAGATAAAATGTATAAAAAACTTTGATATAATCCACCTTTGACTGCCTTATCGCGAACAATTATCCTCGCCCAATTCGCTCGGTATCGACGTTAATTACTCAATATTATCTAAGGTGCAGTGAGCACAATATTAACCTTCATAAATCTATATCAAGACGGAGGTCATTTATGACTACCGAAATTTAAAACGCATTTGGAAGGTGAATTTCGGGTTATCGGATCACGCAGTGACCTTTGGTTTTAATATTGAACTTGATTTTATTTGAAATGGGTAATCTTACGTGTCTTTCCAAAGCTCAAGGGCAGCACAACGTGAATACCGCTAATTGCCTCAAGGCGAATTGGTATTAATAACCTGCGTATAGGTTCACCATTCTATCTAATTCTGCCGCTAAGCAGTCATGCATTCAAACTGGAAGAGTAGGACTGCCGTTATCTATATAAGTATATATAAAAATGAATTGCTGTTCGTTAGTCTCGCTAAAACGAGAACGGCTGGACCGATTTGGCTAATTTTGGTTTTGAATTATTTGTGGAAGTCCAGAGAAGGTTTAAAATGTAGATAAATATGAAAATGCTCGGAATTAAATAAAAATAACAAGTTTGTTCTCTCTTTGATGTGTCCCCCGTCCGTCGGATTCCTTTTGTTTGTTTTAAGTTTATTTTATACAACAGTTTAGGTCTTTTGTTTATCGATTGAGGCACTACGAAGTCTGCCGGGTCAGCTAGTGCAATATAATTATGACCTCGATTTTATGCCACGTGGTGGAAGTATTCTCGTTGTAATTTCTATGGGCTCCGGTGCTCACTTTACACCAGGTAACTGTCAGCTCCTTCACCCATTCAAGCAATAAATAAAACCAACAACCATATTCAATTAAACTAAGATTGTACAGTCAAGTAGGGTAATGGAATTCACGTCGTTCTCAACAAGTTTAAGTAGTAACAAGCCGCTTAATATCCACGAGCCTTGAACTCAACTGCTCATCGCTACTAAGAAATAAAAATAATATTAGATATTAAAAATAATATTAGATGCAATAAAAAAAAAAAAAACATGTGTGCGATTCACACGCGGTAGAAGTGATTTAAAAAAAAAAAATTAAAAAATTAAAAAATTTTTGGCTTCATAATAATGAGACGAATGTTAAATTTCGGGAAGAAGATATTGAAGGTTTTAGTCATCATCATAGTGATACAATTTTTGATAATTATTTTACATTTTATTCGTATATAATAAATAGATTTACTCAGAATGTATAAAGTACGAATATTAGGTACGAAGCAGAGCACAAAGAGAACCACTAATATAAGAAACACTGTTGTAATGCTTCCTATCTCATTTTCTCCAACGTTCAATCTTATGAATTTATGTGTCTGTCTCTTTTTATTGTCGCTTTTTCGTTTCATCGACTTTCGAACCACAACGATGCTGAAGAAGTTTTTAATTCAAAAATACTTTGGATTTTCAAATTGCGTGTATGATTCGTTTTTATTTTCATTAGTCATTACATAAATAAATCGTATGTGTTACAGTACTAAGTTACGGGGTAATGTTACAGGATGCCGTAGTGGATTGGGCCCGTGATCATCGTATGCACCACAAATATTCCGAGACTGATGCGGACCCCCACAACGCAACCCGAGGATTCTTCTTTTCCCACATTGGCTGGTTGTTGTTGAGGAAGCATCCCGAAATCAAAGCCAAAGGCCATACCGTCGACGTGAATGATCTGCACAATGATCCTATCCTACGTTTTCAGAAGAAGTAAGTATTATATATGAATATATTTAGGATTACATAGCGTGATACAATATTCCCGCAATTCGTCGCTTCACTTAATCGGGTAATAAGAATACTCGGTGTGAAGACCGGGCTTAAGTTGTGCAAAATGAAAGAGTTTATTTCCTACAGTGAATCGTGAATTTTGGCTGATAAATGAAACGCTCCGGCGTAAACAATGCACTGCACTGTAAGTTTATTTTTACCGGCTCACGAATTACTATGAGCTATAAAATTAACGAAATAAATTCACATGTATTTAAACTTCACTATCACAAATCACTATTTCGCTTTTCTGTAGCTTGGCTTCGAATAAAACTTCCTTCATGTCGGATTTTATAGTCATTTCAACTATATACCTACTTGTTTACTGGCGGTAGGACCTCTTGTGAGTCCGCCTGAGTAGATACCTACCACCACCCCGCCTATTTCTGCCGTGAAGTAGTAATGCGTTTCGGTTTGAAGGGTGGGGCAGCTGTTGTAACTATACTGATACTTTAGAACTTATATCTCAAGATGAGTGGCGCATTTACGTTGTAGATGTCTATGGGCTCCAGTAACCACTTAACACCAGGTGGTTTGTGAGCTCGTCCACCCGTCTAAGCAAAAAAAAACGTATGTCTGAAAATTTCCAGAAGATTCCAAATGGAATTAAAACATTCAAGAATGTTCTAGACTCGTCTTGCTTATGTTGAAAACATTCTTGGAACCATTAGAATACTCTCGATACAACTGGAACACTGAAGAAATGTTCTAGAATATTCATGAGTTGATCCAATTGTTTTAATAACAGTTATTGCTTTTTGGCGATAGATGACGTCACCAGTATCGGAACAACAATATTAAACTCGATAAAGTCTAATGATGTGTAAAATTACACGGTAGACTTGATTTTAAACTAGATCACTTTGCCTATCTTCGATACAAACTCTTTGATAAAAATTAACCCTTAATAAAAACTTTTTTACGATTCAATCTGATTGATTTCCTTAAATTGTAATAATGCCATTATTCATTATACTATTTTATAAGTTCTGATGTTTTGAACTTAACAACTTTAAAGATCAGTCGTTCGTGACGTGAAATGAGACCGCGAGACCAAAACACAGAGGGAATTGCGATAAAGTCTACGGCTTAAAGAATGCTAGCAAACGCTAATTTGTAACTTTAATTTTCCAGGTACTACCAAATTTTAATGCCTTTAGCCTGCTTCATCATGCCTACATATGTACCAACATTGTGGGGAGAAACAGTTTGGAACTCCTTCTACGTCTGCGCAATTTTCCGCTACGTATATGTTCTCAATATAACTTGGTTGGTCAACTCAGCAGCACATATGTGGGGTAGCAAACCTTACGATAAGAACATCAACCCCGTAGAAACCAGGCCCGTTTCGTTAGTGGTGCTCGGCGAAGGATTCCACAACTACCATCACACGTTCCCGTGGGATTACAAAACCGCCGAACTTGGAGATTATTCCCTTAATTTGAGCAAGCTGTTCATTGATTTCATGGCGAAGATCGATTGGGCTTATGACCTTAAGACAGTATCAACTGACGTCATTCAGAAACGAGCGAAAAGGACAGGTGATGGAAGCCATCCCGTATGGGGATACGATGTTGGGGAGGTCGCTACTGAAGACAAAACTGATACTACTAATCTTGTCAATTCTAAAGTGCTCTAATACCAAATAAGGCATGTTAAAAATACGTTTACGGTTGTTTGTTAATCAACCACTCAATGTGATAATTTTTCCTGATAAAATCTACTTGACTAATGTAGATTAACAATTATAGTAATTTCGTGATTATTTACACCAATTTTTTTTTTTGAGTTAATTTGTTTTTTGTTTCCTAATTTCAAACAAAATATAATATTGTTTTGTGTCATCAAAAAGGCTTCAAGAGCAATTAAAAAAAAAAAAAAAAACATCATTTTTTTACGCCAAAGCGATACGTAGAGAAGTAATATTTAATAATTTATTTCTATTTGTATGTAATGTTAGTAAGTGTCAAACTTTAATAATCCGGTGTAAAATAAATATTTTTTACCGTATTTGAATGTTGAATCAATAAATATTTTATGAATAATTATTTTTTAATCCTCCATATTATCCTCCTTCAACATAAAATTAACTTTTGGGCCAAAAAGATTTAATGAGGCAAATAATCATGCCAGTAGCCTCGAAGAGCTATTTCTATCTTTACCATAACCGGTCGCCCAGCTTACGGGGTTCAGTTTGAAATAATTTGCTCACATCTGCCCTTTTATTTTCGTGATTTGGACAATTTTCTACGTGATAGAAAGTTTGCTTCCCAGGAGGCAGTACAAAATGCTTTCACACAGTTTGTAGAATCTAGATCACCAGAGTTCTATCGCAAAGGCATAAATGACAGCGAAAGCAGTCCTTCACTCAATTTACCACTGGATCGAGACTACTGTGAAGATCCGACAAGAAATTCAATGGGTTGTATCTGCAGGTTAAGTTGCACGTCGAACACTTTTCCGCATTGGGCGTCGGCGACCAATGCTTGGAATATCTAAAAGCACCGGGAATGGATCGAGAGGATCTGAGAGAATGTCTGTGGCGACAGCGTTGGCGTTAGTTATTTCCCCCGTCATTTGGGTCGGGACTGTACCTTACAGTGGCTACGATAAGAGGGTTATCGTACCGCGCCGCTTTCTCAAAGACTCATTCTGACGCTCTTTTGAGATACTTACGATTCGGTCCTAAATCCAAGTCATTGTATATATTCCTTTTCATTAATTCTCATATCTACTCTCATCCTTATATTATTATATTATAGCGCTCCGACAGCCATCCTACAATAACGGGATGTTATAAATTGAAGAGGGGCAATATGGTGCAGGCCGAATGAAACAAAACTATACTTCTATAAGTTAGACTTCCAACGCCTTCTCTATATCTAAGAAAAATAAAGGGAAGACTCGAAAGTGTTTGTTTGTGATTGCCGATACCTTGGAGGAGACTGGTCGAGTGATAGCTTGTCCACAGTGGCTAAATCCTATTTGGCTTTATAATAACACGATTAACTTAAGCTCAGATTGACGCGTTTTTGGCTCTTAAGAGCTCACCAAAGTCTGTGGAGATTCTGATGCTGTGCGCGAGCGTGTGCTCGGCCGTAGTGTAACTATACTGAGACCTTCGAACTTATATCTCAAGGTGCGTGGCGCATTTACGTTGTAGATGTCTATGGGCTCCAGTAACCACTTAACACCAGGTGGGCTGTGAGCTCGTCCACTCATATAAGCAATAAAAAAAGAGCATCCGCGACAAAACTTACATTCATCCCATCATGATCTATGTGAGCGTGATACTCGTTCTAGTATCCCACATTGATTCCCTCTAAGTCTTCCGATGAACCCGCTGAGCTTTCTGACTATGGACGTTCATAGCAAAGGGCTAAAACATTTACGTATGATCACGCACTACTAAATTCAGAGCTTTGATTCAAAGATCTCCGCTTTGCCACTGATATTAACCAAGCTTAGCCTGAAACTTTCTATACTTGGGATTGTAGTAATGGATCCTGGACGGATGAATCTTTCATCTTCAGTGTTCGAAAGCCACTTGATGCAAAAATGCTTTCATCTTCTCTCTCTAATGTGGTAGTTTAATAAACGCTCTCCTTAATGTCGTTCGGTTTCAATGATGAGTGCCAACTTCCTTGCTTGTGAGCCAACTTCATGGCTTAAGATATTTTTCTGCAAGTGGTAAGTCAACTGTTGTCAATTCAATTCTTCAAGTATTTTATTTTTCTTCCAATTCTTTAGGTTTTTGGCTGTCCAGATCGATCCTTTCTTTTAAGTCGAAATGTCCAATTTTCTTGGACAACAAAATGACTTCCGCCACCATTAATAGTATGATTAAAATATAATAATAAAGTAAAGCACTTTATTATTTGGCATATAATCAACACACTTGACACAAATGTACCATTTACGCCATCTTTTGTGAAATGGTATGAATTCGTTTATGTGTGTGTATATTTACCTGAAACTTTGGCCACCCCTCGGCATATTTACGATAACACGTTGTTTTAATGGGAAATTCCACGGCTCGTAGCTCTGAGCCCCTGACTTCCGAGGCCTACATTTCACATCCCCACATTATTTTATATCACCACAAACACTACAGACTAAGAATTATATTTTTACAAGTTAGTTTGTTTAATGTATTTTTTGTCTTTAGAGCTTTCAGCCTGACGAAGCTGGAAAATCCCCTCGAGGCTACCAACGGTCCATCCTTAGTTTTAAGCCTCTTTTGTCTATTAGTCAAGAGAATAATTTGGAAGGCATGATCAAGGAATTACACATTATGAGCAAGAATTAAATATGATAGTTTCTTAGCGTCTTAGAGCATATTTTTGCGATATTTCTATTTTTACGTAAGATACCCCATGCTACTCAAGATTAATATAGTTGCTTATAAGGTGAAAATTTATGAAGCTCCCTTGTGATTTGAAACTCAATTAAATGAATGACACTCGAAAAGCGACACTAAAAAAAGGTCAATGTGGAAATCTACTTAGCCTGCCAGAAAACTAGGTATATTACTCCTGAAGACTTCACTTCTACCGATTCTTGATTTATTTCTTGATTCTAGTGAAAGATTTTTCAAATGTAGGACTGAAAGATTACAGAAATTACCAAAGACGATACGATTTTCATGTATATTTAGATCCTTATTACGAATATAATAATAACGTAACACAACGATCACTTCACTAAAACAAAATTCACTTGCTTTGAAGTGAAACGAAAACAGGAATTTCTATTAACGAGATGCCAATTTTGTTAAGCATAGAAAAAAGTATGCAAACAAACCGTTAATATTATGTACAGTAGATAGCAATTTCAATTAGGCGATACATATAGTACATTGCACTGTATGGCTGCCATCAATTTGACCGATTGTATACACGCAGTGCTACTTTTATACAGGGGATGTTCTCAAAAAAGACGCTTTTTTATTTAATTTTGATAAGTATAATTGGCCGGTGCTTTGAATAGCAGCCCCGAGGGCAGGTCAGAAGAGTCCGATATGACATGTTCATGCGACGACTGCTTTGCGATGCCCTGTTTCCTGGATCCGATATATAAATAATCAGCAGCGGCCACGATAATAGGGTTGCGATCAATCATCGGAATTCCCAGCCATTCCCATTCTGTGTCGCAGATACAGAAACAAGGCTGTGGGGTGGGCTCTGTTCACTGTGTGAAAAAGCGTAGAAAAATGCACTATTTTGGCGTATTTTCAAACAAATAAAACAAAACAATTTAATTAAAAGCTTCGAAAAATTTTTTACATAAGAATATGAAAGATTTATCGAATCTTTAAAAATATAATACGTTTCATTATTAATTTAACTGAAAATAATCTAATTTTGTCCGAAATATAAATTCATACGAGCCCAAAATTATTATCAGGGTACCGACGCCCGAAATTCCATTGTTGAAACCAAGAATATTGAAACGGGATTAAAGTATTAAAACACGAATAGAAAATATTTTTTAATAAATGGAACACTAAGACAAAGAAAATTAATATAAAGATTGCTATAGAAGACTGAAAGGAATATAAAAAAATAAGTTATAAGTTTAGCTTTTAGAACCAGCGCCATCAATAGCATTCATTAGATGCCAAACAAGCTATGCATAGCTATAAGCCCAAACTTGAAGACTTTACTATTAATTAGCCGTGCAATGTCACTTCCAGTTTCAGCGTCTAATGCAGTGATTCTCAACCACTGTTCCGCGGCACTTTTGTGTGCCGCCAAATTTTGCGAATATTTATAATAATGTTAATATTATTAAATTATATCATTTTAAAAGAAAAATATTTTAAACATGATTATATATTTAAATCCACAAAAAAAAAAAATTATAGTATATTTTAGTTTATTTCGTATATTAAATTTTTTTGATAAACTATTTATGCAGTGTGTTGTAGTAAGTAAATAATTTTTATCTTTTTTTTTTGTGTGCCGCCAAATTTTGAAATCGTTAAATATGTGCCGCAACAAAAAAAAAGTTGAGAATCACTGGTCTAATGGAACACACTCGGTGAATCTAGCATAGTCCCTCGAAGCTACTAGAATAGGTAGGCAAAAAAATCTTATAGAAGACTGGGATATAACAACTTTATTCATCTTAATATATTATTATATAAACTACGTGTTACGTTGTTTGTCCGCGATGGACACCTAAACTACTGAACCGATTTTAACTTTTTTTTTAAATATGTGTTTTGTTCAACCTTACGCTATAGGATGGTTTTTATTTCGATTATGGCCGCAATATTTATTAAATAACAATAAAATTATTTATGTTAATTATTGTTAATTGTAAGTTTCATAAGTCTAAAACAGATGGCGCCTTAAACCAGTTCTCTGTAAAACAATTGTCTGACATTAATATCTCATAGATGGCGCTGTATTAAAAATACCAACGTTTCACATAATAAGCTACAATTTAATGGCATAAACACCACGTGTTGCTGAGGCTAAAGTATAAGTGAAAATTATTTCGTAGTAAACACAATACAGTGAAATCCAATTGTTCTTACTTTGTTAACATTTGATATTAGCATAGCCAGCCGGCCACGTGTTATTTAGAAACAAAAACCATAGCCACAGCAACGTGTGGCCGGGTCTGCTAGTATTGTTATATAATAAATTCCCAGTAAACAAATAATTTTATTGATTACTACACTATGGTCAATAAATACTAACATAAAATCACATACCTATTCGCATTATATAAATATATATAGCGTAGTTAGAAGTTAACAAATTAAGTACTTGCATGTGCTTAGCAGTCTGTAGCGGTTTGACTGTGCCTCCGACATTTCTGACGACCATGAACGACGACTCATTAGATGAGTACCCTCGTCTGCGTACAAGGGTAATAAAAAAAATGCCAATATTTCCAAATAAACGAAAAAGAACACCCTGTACGTTAACTTCAGGGCTTTCGCGAAAACTCATCACGGATAGTACTTTCTACGCGTTAGTCGAAGTGACAACTTTACACGGTGGACACGTACATACATACATCCCGGACTTAGAACATGTGATTTTTATAATAATAATTTTCTTTTCATTTCGAAATAATGATGGAACCAAATAATAGCGAATATGAGAATAATTCTTATATTACATTTTTCGGACCCGTGGGGATGGCTTTTTATGACAACGGCCAGGTCTTAGAAGATAGCCTCACAGTCAAAATCATATTGAGTATTATACTGGCTGTTATAATGATTCTGAGTTTAATCGGAAATGGTTGTACTTGTGCTGTGATCGCTCGCAATCGTTCTATGCGAACTCCGACTAACTGCTATTTATTCAACCTTGCAATTACCGACCTGTTCATGGCTTTATTTGTGCCAATAGACATTTACATCATTTGGATCCCTGAATTCTACCCATTGGGGGAAGTGGGCTGCCGTCTGCATTTCGTGCTGTGGGATTGTCTTAGTAATTGTAGCCTGCTGATTATAACCGCGTTTACCGTCGAACGATATCTGGTCATCACCAGGCCATTTCTTCGACAGAAATTGTCCCTTAATTCGCGTGTCTTCAAACTGGTCGGTGTTATATGGTTCGTGTCCTGCAGCTTTTGCATACCGGACCTCCTGTATATCGATATGATTGAAGAGAAGAAATATGTATTTTGCTACGTAGCAATGTCGCACATCGTGAGTGTATTTGTGGCAGCCGAGATCTTTGTTTTCTACGTGATACCAATGACGATTATTATAATATTGTACATATTAATAACGATAGAGTTAAAGTTCAAAAAGAAACTTCGGAGCAGTCCCGCCAGCAATGGACAACAAAACAGAGATAAAGCGGTCATAATGTTAGGTAAGTTTTATTGTCATCGAAGACAGATGAGCCTGCGGCCCGCCTAATGGTTATTAGTTGGCTTTTATTCATGGACATCGGCAATACCAAAGACGCAACTTAGTCGCAGCTGCCTATCACTTAATACAATAACCAGAAAAGACGTACCAAAATGTACATGAAATTTTCATTGAGTTTTTTAATATATAACAAGGGAGTAAAGCAATACCTAATATTTATTAAATGATATTTATGACATATTTTCCTTCTTTTACAGAAGATTGACAGATAAAACACAAGGCGTACAATTTTATAAAGTTATATAATGACATTGCTTCAGTTTTTTTTTTTTAACATGACTTTATGAACTTAGTATGTATGTTTGTTTGTATGTAACAGAATCGTTGATCGTCATTATAACCGGCTTTAAGCCACACAATTTAAAATTTTCATACACATCAAGGCCAATATAAAGACTTATATAACTTCGCTCTAATATCCTAACCAGTATCAACAGTATTAAAAAAGATAAAACTAATTATTATTTCGGTTTACTGTAGCGAATTTTATTAGTTTTAAACTATTTAATTTAAATTATATATGTACTATATATATGAACCATAAAAAAGTGTGGTCATCAATTCAGGGTTTCGGTCTCGTAAATAATAAAAGGATAATCTGAAACGAACTTCTTCTTCTCTCCGTTCTTTCTACTATACATTACTTATAGTGCTGCAATAGAAAAATGAGATCATCTCCGCAACTCCTCAAAGCATTCTTTAAACATACGGATTAATAGCACAAAAATAATTAAAGCCACATCTTATACCCAGATGTTCTGGCTTTACAACAAATTAAAACTAAACTTTAACTAAATTACATGCAACATACCCTTCTTGGTATTTAATAGTTAACTAAGATTAAATTCGGCCTTCGTTCCCAAATTACTAAACATCATAAAGTAAGATGTACGTGAACTCCTCGGATGAAATTCACATTTTGTACCACAACGCACATAAGACTATTAATTACGCTTAATTTTATATCATAATTCACTCAGCATGTCGCAAAACGTCTAAGTGGCTCAGCCGACAAATCCACGGGCCCAAGGATTTTAAACTACCCTCGTTAAGTCTGCATTCATCGCTTAATTTCGGGAAATACTATTATAACAGCGTGTACCTAAAGTTTCACTGTCTGATGTATTGTTGAACTCAAAACAGGGTCTAGGTCATGGGCCAATAGAATTTTTGAAACGTCGAAAATGTGCAATAGCGCTCAGTTACGTGATTGTCTCTCATGCAGATTTATATCTGCAATAAAAGGGCACAATCTGATCGAAAAAAGCCCAAATAATTATATTTCAGTGAAAAAAAGTCTCACGGCTCTATAAAACAGATATAAATGGTATTGATATTATTTTAAGGGCATCATCTGATCGATAAAAGTCCAAATAAATATATTTTAGTGAAAAAAGGTCTCACGACTCTCTTTGTGGTTATCATTAGTTCGTGTGATGAGCTGCCCGTCTAGGAAGCTCGCCAAAAACAAAACTATAAATATAGGCTCACTATAAATGTAAGCTCACGAATATTTATCATACGCACAGTATCTTTACACTGATTTACGTGTTTTCTGTTTATTTCAGCGGCTGTAGCTCTTTCGTTTTTTCTGTTCTGGTCACCATACTGTTACCTGCGCATCATGTTGATTTGGCCCGGTGTTTATGAGAAGCATTATAATGTAAGTACTATTCTGTCTAAATTAATATACAAACAAAAATAATACCAAAAAAAAAAAGATTTTTATGATGGTAAGATTTTAAATATAAGCTTGACAAACAAATCTTAATGCATATCTCTAAAAAAAATTATCACTAAATTCTTCTTGTTCTCAGTCGTTCTCTCGTAGTTGAAGATCGTGACTAGGGTTGCCAGATTTTTTTTCAGCCTTTATAGGAAAAATGCTTAAATAGGCAAAAAAATACGGGAATTTAGTTTTTTACCAGGGACAAAAACAAAATTATATAGTGGCAAAATTTTTGATGTGAAACATCTATAGCCGCACGTAAAACCGATTTCTGACGTGGCGACGCATGCCGTGGCGACGCGTCGCCACGCTATATGATGGTATATATATACAGTCTATATGCAGTAGTGTGTACGGTGTGGCGACGCGTCGCCATGCGCGATCGACTGTGCTATTCTCTCTGTATTTTACTTGAAAACAAATTATTTGTTCGTAATATTTTATTTTATCATTATGACATATTTAGTTCCTATCACAATCTGTTCTTTTCTGCATATTACTTTTACAAAATAATGTCGATGTTTCACATCTGCCAGGCGTCCCGTGACGGCTCACATATTTTTTTTTATATTTCTCCGAGGAGCAAGTCAGTTTTAACATAACATTTTATAGGTTTTAACATATTTATAAAAATCTATACAATTATAATCGTATGGTTCGAATACGTGGCAGAGTCAGTCCCGCCAGGACATTTTAAACTAAGCCTACAATACGGGACGTCTGGCAACCCTTATCATGATTCTTATGTTTAATAGTCTTCTCACTGTTTCATTCCACCTATTCCTATCTTTTGCCTCATTGAGAGATTCGTCGACTGCCATTTCTAGATGTTGAGTCACCTGGACCCTAAATTATATTCGGGTAAAATACGTCTTAACGTCTGCCATACATACAGTAGGTACTCGTAAAATCTTTTCAGCGCAGAACAGCAAACAATTATTACAATTTTGTTAATTTAAATAATAAATACTCATTAATACTCCGGACCACAGCGGTTAGGGTCTAGAACGCTGATGCAACATCGATTAATGCACACGAATCGTTAAGTAATATCGCCATCAAAACAATGAAACTACAATTTTCGAACAAATGTAAACTACAGTGCATCAAAAAAAATTGTTTAACGCGGTGACGTAAACATTTTATCTAATTATTAAAGTTCGTAGGAACCTTTTAACTATAATCCAGTACGTAATTAGTTGAAAGCCCATTAGCTAGTATTTTCACACTACCATTTTCCCATTGTTGTTCATTTTCCGTAATCGGATTTTCAATTGATTGTTTTTTTTTTTTACTATTTTTTTTTTATTCAAACGCATCGATGCCATAATGCAAATAAAAATTGAAAAAACGCATGATATGCTTTTTCATTTTTACATAAGACATACTGTGTATCTTTATAAACGATTTTACTTTCAGGCATGGAAAATAGTGAATTATTTATGCTACAATTCGTACGCATCGAGCGCCTTAAACCCGATCCTATATAGTCTCATGTCACGGAAATTTCGACGTGCGTTCAAGGTAACAAACACTATTCTTAGGAAAAACAAGAGAAAATTTTGAAAATAAAACGAAACAAATATTAAAAGTCCTTAACCGTCACAAATCAGCTGAGAGAATCTTACAATTAACACAGTTTCAACCAGGAGTGAGTGACATCATCTAACGGGTTGTTATTCAAGCAGCTCTGCTAATCACTTAACACTAGCTGGGCCGTGACCTCATTCACCAGTTGAAGCTTTAACAAAAACCAAAAAACTTATCGGAAAATCCTTATTTAAATATTTCCAAGCTTGGATTTTTTTTATTGCCCTTGTAGACAGACGAGCATACGGCCCATCTGATGGTGAGTGGTTACCGTCGCCCATGGACTTCAGCAATGCCAGGGGCAGAGCCAAGCCGCTGCCTACCGGATTTGTGATAAATTGAAAAAACCACGTAGTTCAAATGAGGCATTTCGTATTATAGCTTTTTAATTATACCTAAACTATCAGTTTCAAACGACATGGTGTCGACTGCCGAGTGCGAAGAAGCCTTCCTTGTTGTTTGGTGCTTTATACAAATTTATGTGTATGAATAAAATAACGTATTTACTCAGACAGCCGGGCATCGGCATTGGGGAGAAACAGTATTTTGTGTTATATAGACTGTGATAGAAATCTCAGAAAATATGCGCTCTTTAAACCTTTCCTTCGTCCCTGCCACCAGCATTTGAGGTCGGGCCTCATCTGCACTTGTCTCAAGTTACCCTGGCATGGATTTTTGTTCATTATCGAAGACCACAAATATATAGTAGGAAGGTGAAGCCGCCCCCAAACTTGACATGAAAATAAATTAGTCCGTATTACCAAGCCAAATTAAATAAATACTACTACGGTATAGTGAATATAATGCACATTATTTTATTTATATGTGGGTTTGTAACGAAAGTTTATGAAGTGTATGTTTTTTTTTCCAGGATTTTTTCACTAGACGAAAACCAGACAGTACCAATCGGAATGATATAGCCAAGGCTTCTTTGAGCAAAAATGAAACTAAATTGGAACTAAAGATGTAGTTTGAAATGTGTACGTGTATTTTGATTGTTCCGGGATGTTGGACTCGTGAGAGAATAATCAATCATTTGCGAATTTGTATGTTATAAAGTAAAATAAAAACATATAAAAAACACACAACAAAATATTTAATACCATTATAAATCTACATGGTGGGAATTATGATAACACCGTAACGTCGAACTACGTATAATTTTGATGTAAACATTCAAATTTATTCAGTAATTTAAACAGAATCGATTTTTTTATTTCATGATCTTACGTACGCCGCAGGTTTCGACGAGGTCAATGATCTATGAAAGAAAACACCAATAAACATTTTCATTACGTACAATTTATTTACAAATACGATAATATTATCTTTTTCTATTTTATGGACGAGGTAATGTTGAACTTTCACCCCTTATAACATTTTTTTTTCTTTCTGATACTAAACTAGTAAAAGCTGTGTTTTTTTTTATTACGGTTGTCCAATATCCTCACCCTCTGCATAGCAAAGTGTATGGTATTCACATTATGATAATAGATATCACTCGACTCTCATCACTTAACTCCAAGTGGGCCGCGAGCTCGTTTAGCCTATGCGATAAACCAATAGAAATCAGCTAACAATGTGCAAGTTGCACGTGCACCATTTTTTTTTACAAATATCACAGCTCATATTATATATTTTTTTGCATTTGCATTTTTATGTTGCACTAGGAAACTAGATTCATAAACGATCCCGTGGCACACCAGAGATAAGTGGCAACAAAAGTTCTACGTTATCACAGCTTGGAAACTGCTACCTACCTCGATCCATAATTTGAATAAGTACACCATTTTGATCAGAAAATGCTTGTTTTAATCGACCGAGGCACTCGTGATTCGCTTCGCGTTCAGTGATCACCAGGACCCATAGACACCGCAGTGTAAATGCCACCTTAAGCCACAAGATCGCTCAATTATATAATTTAGGGGGTTTGATCCTTCGAACGGAAAATATGTAAACCATAGTACACGTTGCTAAAATGATTTGCACGGTAAGTTTTACGTTGTGCAAGTAGCAATGAAGGTGAACATCAGACAGACCAAGCACCAGCCATCGAGTCTCATAGAGACAATCGACGAGGAACTTCGAAGGCGTTCATATAAAATAAGGCAGTGAGTGCCTCGATAACTATCCGTCACCAGCCTCAGCGCTGCGGCAAAACCGGCTTCATCGCTCCCGCTATCGACACATTGTCCGAGGTCGGCCATGACGCTCCTGCTGAGGTTTTGGAAATTAAACTCACGTTATGATGCTATTGTCTCATCGTGGAGATCGTGAGCACATAAGTACGTATTTAATTAGATTATAAATTGTTCCACTGTTGGACATAGGCCTTCCCAAGGTTCGCCTCAATAAAGTCTCAGTTCGTCTTGCGCAGCCTGCATCGAGCGGATTCTCGTGAATTTGGCGAAGGACGTCACTGGGCTAAAAAAAAATTGGTACCCGTCTGCGGGAATTAAACATCAGCATCGCTTAATAAAAACAAACTTTCTACCTTTCGATATTTTCAGTATCACATACAAATTTTTTTATTGCCCTGTATGCAGAGAAGCATACTGCCCACCTTGTAGTGAGTGGTTACCGTCGCCAGTGGACTTCAGCAATACGAGGGGCAGAGCCAAGCCGCAGCCTACTAATCTATATATATATATATATAAAAATGAATTGCTGTTCGTTAGTCTCGCTAAAACTCGGGAACGGCTAGACCGATTCGGCTAATTTTAGTCTTGAATTATTTGTGAAAGTCCAGAGAAGGTTTAAAAGGTAAAATATGAATATAATCGGAATTAAATAAAAATATCAATTTTGTTTTCCCTTTGATGTGTCCCCCGTCGAACGGATTCCTTTTGTTTGTTTTAACTTTATTTTATACAAAAGTATAGGTCTTTTATTTATCGATTGAGGCACTACGAAGTCTGCCGGGTCAACTAGTTGTTTAAATAAAAGTAAATTTAAAATTTATATTTAAATGAAACAAATTTTAGGATTTAATCTCGCGTTTTTTTATTGTCATTTTACATATCTATATATTAATACGTGAAGCAAAAACTATGTATCCCTTTTTACGAAAATTGCGCGGACGGAGGAGTATGGAATTTCCCACACTTATAGAGAATATAGAGAAGGAGCAAATAATACATTAAATCAATAAAAAAAACATTACACACACTACCAAGTGTTTGACACACCCGCCTATGTAGACTCATTGTGAAACTTTTGTTATTGCATAAAGATTGTGGTCAAATTTAAAATAGGTTTATAATATTGTTTGTTTTTAATATTATGTGTCTATAGTGCTATCAGTGATTATAGAAGTAAAATAGTATTTGTTAATAGATCCATAATAATGTACAAACTTACGATTTCAATTAATTATAGTCGAATTTCGACTACTGCGGGACCACTAGTTACTCGTATTATAATGGCGTACATTTCCTAGGTTTTCAATACTTGACAGTTTTCGTGGTCACGAATGAACGAAAGGTACTCAAAATGTTCCCAATCAGGAACATAAGACGAAATGGTAAGAGTAGATTTTACTAAGTATCAATGACTCGTCAAAATCGACATACTATTTACATTTTAGGACAGCTTGCATCGTGTATCAATCATTGTGTGCTTATGGATCTCAGACACAACTGTATTATCCAATGTTGATGAAACTAGAGAGCAATACCCTAATATTATGATTTATCACGATCGACCTACATATACAGCAATTTGTTTTCATATTAACTGACTGTCTATCATATAGATTTGTGTTTATTCGTGAAATTGCCACGAAATCCATTTAAGAAATAAATTAGTTTACATTTTTAAAAAAAACTCTTAATTATACTTTTTAGAATTTTAAATGGTCGTTTACTATAATTTCTTTCATTTTGCGACGACTCGAATACCTCATTCAAAATATCCTATACGTCCTTATATTATACTCTTATTACATCACTATACCACCTAATATTTGTATCATAATTGAAACTATAATAACTTGCTAATTATAATAACTAGAAGCCGCCTTAGCTCGCGATTTTTTTTACTGTCACTAATATTATATTATTTCCGTCACACGAAAGTTTAAGCTTCCAGGCCTCAATTTACTATTTGTTCGTTTTGTGTGAAATGAACCTTAAATGTAAAAAAAATGGAGTAGTTAGTACAATATTCAAATATCAACGAAAACAGACCTCGGTTATCTAGAAGTATAACCACAAAAAATAAAGTATCCAAAACGTCGGAAATAATATAAAACCTAGAAAATACTTAACAAAGCATTTGTTACACAGTTTTAACCTCGACAGAAAATATTTAATACCCTTAAAGGAAATTGTTTTATTCAAAATATTATTCCCGTATAAGAAACCAACAATTTAAATATCGTACAATGTTATATTTCGTGTTAAAGATTCTAATATAGCACTTTTCTAGCAAATTCTCTTCAAAGATGGCGCAGAAAAATGTTCCGCTAAGACACGTGTAAGCCGCTTTCAATGCAAATTCTATGTTACGTTTAGCCGATAGCAAAACACTCTTATACTCAACTCAATTTTATAAATGCAAAACTGAACGCAGACCTCTTTTAACATAAATCTCACTTTGGTATCCCTTTCGTTTTAAGGCTTAGACTCGGGAAGCATCTGCCCTTGAGGTTGAAACTTTTTCTGGGGGCGCTCAGGCAACTATTTGCAAATATTTCCCTCCTATCTGAGCTCAGGTAGTCAGCGTCGGAACGTTACTTCGATAAGGCTATGCGTCATGATAATGTCCGTTCGTTATCGTTACGGCCGCTGACTACTCCCCGAATCCTGATCACGCAGGAGCAAATCACCGTCGTCGCCCTAGACACGTCCTTACGGATCCATCAGATACAATAACTCTTGCATTAGACACCTTCAGCTCTAACACTAGGAGCAGGCTGAGGAACCCCGGTGACCATACTCGTCGAACTCGACAAAGAGGTCGACGTGCAACCTAACCTTAGGATCTTCTCAGCGGGTCGCGATCCCGATCCGGTAGTAGATTCATTCGCGAAGCAGTTGCTCTTGAGTTGTTAGGTCTCCTTCGAAGGCGCTCGGGCAGCTGTTAGCAAATCCCACCCCTTCTGGCTGAGCCTTTGCTCGCCCACCTGTCCTGGTAAAACTGGAAAGGCCTCCGGGCCACCAGTAAGTCTTAAAAAAAACTCAGGTAAACAACAAGGTCTTTGGACCATTCGTGATCCTTACCCACTTGACGATAAATTTACTCCACTCCACTCCCCCGGACCGTCATGGACAATCAGCAACACCAAAGGCACAACCAACCAACTTGTGAAATATTACAGAGGGAGGGGAGACTTCATTCCAAAGCTAAGATTGATGTTTTTTTTTATTGCTTAGATGGGTGGACGAGCTCACATCCCACCTGGTGTTAAGTGGTTACTGAAGCCCATAGACATCTACAAGGTAAATGCCACCACCCAACTTGAGATAAAAGTTCAAAGATCTCAGTATAGTTACAACGGTTGCCCCACCCTTCAAACCGAAACGCATTACTGGTTCACGGCAGAAATAGGCAGGGTGGAGGTACCTATCCGCGCGAACTCACAAGAGGTAAGTGTTTACTGCGTATGTGAGTTAACGAGCTCACAGTGCACCTGGTGTAAAGTGATTACCGGAGCTTAAATCTTGAGACGCGAGTTATAAGTCCCAGTTGTGCTTTATAGCGATTGTACCACCTTCCACACCGGACTACGGGACACCGCCGCAGCAGGCAGGGTGGTGGTACCTACACGCGCGAGCTTTCAATACCACCACCAGTAAGAATTACATTAACATTACATTTCTGTTTTGTTTTTTGCACAGAAATTTATCCTGAAAGGCAAATCCACTTACATATTAAATGAAGAAATATAACTCCTTGTTTATCGAATATGTATCCAGTGCATTTTAACGTCGCGGAATTACTATCTCAAAAGCGAATGCAAACATAATT